TAATTAAGTTAATTTAGAGTAAATGACTAATTTTTGAGGAATATTTAGATATAATAATTTTAATTAGAAGATTATTATTGGATTTAATTTAGATTAAATCCTAAGTTATGATTTTATAGTAAATAGAAATAGTAATAATATTATTATTATAAAAAAAGAGAAAGAAAGAAGAAGGAAAAGGAATATAAAAAAAATAAAAATTGAAGAGGGGAAAGGGAAGTAATTTTTGTTTTGGGTGTTGAGGTGTAAATAATGTAAAAAAAAAAAAAAGAAACATGAAATGAAGAGACGGGGCAAACAATTCAGCGTGTATAATAACAAAAGACAAAAGAGAGAGAGGCACGGGACCCACATAATTTTTAAAAGCCAACAAGCCTTTTTGGCTTTTCATTTCCTTCCTCTTCCTTTTCGTTTTTGCTTCTGCACAGAGAGAGCGAGCGAGAGAGCGATAGACACTGCAACAGTAGGAGCTGATTTAGAAGGTAATGCTTCATAATAGGATACTTCAGATAAAATTTTAAGTATTTTAAGACTAGGTAAGTGTTCTAAATATTTTCTTAATCATTTTTTTCCCTGAGACTGCAGATTCTGAGATTTTTGGAAATCTAAGGGTTTGAAAGAGGGATAAATTTTTGATGAGTAAATTTAGTTGTTAAGGTTGTTGGTAGTATAATAAATATTTTAGAGTATTATTTTGTTGATAGAATTAGAATTTGAGGCATTTGAGTTTATCCCTAGATCCCTATGGGTAGATTTTTGGTTAAATCTGAAAATATAAATTGATTTGTTAATATTTAGATGATTATTTGAGATGAGAAATAAATTATTATGGCTATAGAATAATGATTCTAGGCTTGAAATTAAGTTTGTAATTTTTGAATATTTTTATGTGCGTATTTTTGGAATAAAAAGGGAAATTTTGATATTAGAAAATTATTTGAATAAAATTATTATGAAGGAGACTATTAAACTAAGTAGATAGGTTCAAATACATGAAATTAAATTTTAGAACTTAAGAGGCGAAGACTAAGGTATTGAAAATAAAATAAAATAAAATAAAATAAATATTTAAGTGTTAGAGTATGAGTAAAAATTGTGTTAATAATATTATTGACACATTGAGATATTATCAATTGTAGATTAATTTTCTTTTGACACCATTCAAGCTTTGGAAAGCTTTGGAAGTGTTGTAACTTGAGGGGTAACCTTTGACCTCTCAAAGGTTGAGGTAACCGGTGAAAATTTCTTTTATGCATTTATATGTTACTTAATTAATTATGTTGGTAAAATAAAAGAATATATATATATATATATATATATATATATATATAAATTTTGAAATGGTTGTTTGTAATGCATGTGGTTTGGTTAAAACTCTATGATTTATGATCAAGTTAATTGTGATTTGGTATGAGTAATGAGATTGATGGTTGATAATGATGCATACATCTTTGATTATAAATTGTGGATTATGCATAATGATGAATTGCATATGAGCATGTTGAGTGTTATATGATGTTAATGTGGTTTTATATGATAATATAAAAATTGATGCAAGAGGCATGATTGAAATATGATGATTCTTGATGTTTGTTGAGCAAGAAAGTTAATGAGTATGTGGGATAATTGTAAATTATATATGTGAGTTTTTGAAATGTATTTTCTCATGAGCATTATCATATGGTGGGAGTTCGCCTTAGTGAAGGAGTTAGCGGTTATGCAAAATCCATATGGTACTTGGCTATTAACCAATAATCCTAGGGGTTATAGTCGTTACTTATCTTATAAGATACTGTAGCATTATTCCTATTAAGGGACTTGACCCTATTGGCCTACCTAGAGTTTTGGGTAGAGCTAGTTTTGGGTATGACACCCCATAGTGTGTGATTTGGGGGAAACTGTATTCATAAGTGAGTAAGGTAACCCTGATTTGGTAGCCCCTCATGATATGATTAAGGCCTTGGGTAGTCTCATCATATGGACGATCCCTTTCAGTTGTTGGCCCACAGATTTCATGTCAGAGAAAATAAGGGGGATATAAGAAAGAGATTGATTATGTATATTATTACTATCATGCCATTTGAGTGATTGATGGCTATGTTGAGAATATAATTATAATTGTAGAAATGAGAACATGTAGTAATTATGCAAATAATGTATATGTGGCTATTTGTGCAAATTTTGTACTTGACTTTATTCTTGAAATTATTCACATGAGTTAAATGTTAATGTGATTGACATGTTATTAATGTGATTATTTGAATGGTAACCTTAATAAATTTATTGGCCACTTGCATACATGATTAATTATCATGCATTTGTATAACTTAGATGTACCTTGGTTACTAAGTGGTTGTACTCACCCCTCTCTTTTAGTATATTACAGGAGTTAGCTCATCTCAAAAGAACAGAGGAAAGGAGCATTAGGCCAAGTGATAGTAATAAATTCTGTAGGCCTTTCTCTTTTTATTTTGATTTGTGTATTTAGTTTATGATATTGCCAACTAGAATAATATATTTTTGATCGATTTGCATTATGGGTTTTGTGTTGGGGGAAATATATTTTGGGCCCTAGGGAATGTAGCTTGATGCTTGTGCTACATTAACAAGCTGAAATATTTATGCAAGTGAAAGTAGTTATTATCTGCTTAATTTGAGAACTTGAATGTTGTTATGGTCTCCTCTTGTGTTTTTTATGTGCAGGGTGAGCAGTTGATATTAATTATATGTGAATGAAAAGAAAAAATTCATGCATATGATGGGCTAGTGATGAATAGATGATATATAGAATATGATGATTAGGTAATACTCATTGTGATAAATGTGGTTGAGACCTTGGCCCCTCACTGTCAGTTATGGAAGGATTTGAGTGGCTAAGTTTTATGTCGTAAATATGTATATATGTATTGTAGAGTAAGGTATAGAGAGAAAATAAAGGGGGAAGCTCTTCTCCCATATTGATGTGTTTCTTTTATCATGCTTTCGCATATGTTTAATTAAATGATATGAGTTCTTGAAATATTTTAAAGATTTGGGATCCTGTTATATTGAATCGTTTGTGAAAATACATGTTAAAAATTTATTTGGGTTAATCTTTTATAGGATAATCCTTTTGGGTTAGTCCTTAATTTATTATAATTAGCATGATGATTAAATCTTAATTTAGGACATACTTTACATTTATAGATCAATATGCTTATGCAATCTTCATTCACCATTTTCTTCCAAACTTTTTCCATTAAACTGAGTGCAACAACGCACACAAGCTCACAAACATTTATACACAGACCGATGTAATTGACTCTACTCTCTTTCTTCATACAAAGTAAATTTTAAAAGCTTTTTTAGTCTTAAGTTAGAGGAATTAATATTTTGTCTAATTTTATCTTTTGTTTATTTATTACTGCTTGAATTCCTAAACAACAATTCACTATGATCATTAATTGCAAAAAGGAGTAAAATTAGAAAGTTACATATATTAAAGACCAGAGGGAGTAAAATTGAACAGGGAGAAATTAATTACTTAAAGATGGAGAAGATTCGTTTCATACTATGAATATTATGTTCATTTCTTCAAACTTAATTAGAGTCATATGAATTTGCGGAAGTATAGCCTATAGCATTCATATGATGTGAGTTACTCATGTGATTTTATTTATGTAGCAGAGAGAAAAGATTAATTTTAATCTTATTTATAAGGCACTTTACACTTTTTTATATTTATCTTTACTTTTCTATCATTATTACATGCTAGAAAAATTATTAAAAATAATTTCTTTTGTTCTTATCAACAATAACGGTATAGACTTATTAAATTTTAAGTCATAATTAATGATATTTAAGATTCTTCTTAATTTTAGTTAAATATATACTAGATGTGATTTATAAAAGAGATTAAAGGGAATAATTTGAAGATATATCCATACAGCCAAGATATAGACAAATACACATTCTTTTTGAGCTCAATCTAATTAATTAACCTAATTAATGCCGTTTTGCACTGATTTCAAAGCTAAGCACTGAAATTAAATATTATCTCATCTTATCTTACATTTCCTATCCTGTCTTATGTTATGTGATGTTTTGTTGAGGAGTTGTTTGTATTGAAATCAAAGTCTAACTTTGTCCCATTATTACATAAGTGAACCCTAATTAACCCGCAACTGGCCTATTTTATATTTAAATATAAAATCCAAGCTCTTTTGGGCCAAAAATAAAAAAATAAAAATCCATGCTTTAATTGAGCAAAACTGGGTTGGCCATACATATACAATAGAACAGAACTGCACACGATCAGATTCTTATTTCTTATTTCTTTTTCTTTTTCTTTTTTTACAACTATACCAAAATATATTCTTTTTTCCCATCTATTAATTTAAATTCTAAGGCCTAAAGTTTTTTTTTTGGCACTTAATTTAAGGGGCAAAACCTGAATGGAATAGGGGCCAAAGGAATTACAAAGGATGGAACCCAAACAAATAAAGTTAACAACTTTAAAAAATATATTTGTCTTTTTCTTATTAAGTGCTCACTCAACTCACAGGCGACAATGTGGAAAAAAATCGCAAGTAATTATGAGAACGACTAATATCATAAGTAATGGGGTTGGTGTGAATTCTATACATTATCATATTGACCGTTGTTTTAAATTTAGCGATGACCTCACCTCTACGCGGTTTCATCATGAATTTGAAGGCGTGCCGGCATAAATTACTAAAACCATGGTTTTCAACTAGTGGGATTGAGTCTAATTAAAAAAATAATTTATTATAATAGAATGAACTAATATTTAATTTTTTAGCAAGAGAAATGTTCACTTTTAGTGTCCAACAAGAAGACACCTGTGCATAATAAAAAAAAAATCATGGTTTTGAATTTGTTAAAGGTTTTTATTAGTTAATTATCAAATTTGTTTTTGGTCAATTTTCAGGCTATCTAAGGACAGTTTTCATTGGCTCAGAGGTTGGCATTATAATTTGATTTTGTGGGTTTACGTCAATTTCAACCACTTAATTTTTGCCATGGGGGGTTTCTGTGAAATTGTTTGTTTGAAGATGCATATGCTTGATTATATATTCAAATCCAAGATTACTTTTCTTTCGAACAAATCATTAATTATCTGAATCCCGTATATAAAGCCAATAGCCAACTAACTGGAATTAGCATATCAAACACAAATAAGAAGAATAGAGATCGATGCGTCTTTACCATTTTCTGCTTCTTCTTCTTCTTGCCATCTCTCTTTTCACGCTGTCCTCCCATGCCTGTGCAGGTATGCATCTCTAGTTCTCTCTCTCTCTCTCTCTCTCTCTCTCTCACACGCAGCGAATTGGAAGAGAAAAAAGTTTTTTATAAAAAGGCAGTACATGTTATAATTTTAAGATAACCAGTAATGATCATGGAGAGTTGAAACTATATATACATATGATGCAGAGATGACGACCATGAGAAAACTGGCTGGTGCATTGCCACGTGCACCACCTTCACCAGAGGCATCTAATCGACCACCGAAGCATTAGAAATTTTCCAGAATAATCAAGAGAATGATATATATAATAGAGATCATCTATGAGTTTTGTCTTGTCTGGTCTGGGACCGGGAGTAGCTGGGATGAAAATATGTACTTCTTGTTTGTTTGTTTGCTTAGTCTAGGGGTTTTGTTTCCTCATATATGTGTATGTATCTATGCATGAATAAATGGATCCATGGTTTTTTACATGTCTTCTTGCTTCTCATCAAGCTCAGTGCTCTTGTATGAGTCGCATATGTACAAGGATATATATGCCATTGTGATGTTGTAATTTTTTTGTGAAGTGAATTTTTCTTCATCCCAAATAATTACAGATCCATAAAGCCGTTTTATTTTTTGGTCAAACCATAAAGCCCTTAACATTAGATTTAATAATTACACAAATCAGGATATACATAGCAATATAGTTGAAGGAAACAATAGATGTACTCCCTCCAGTTTTATTATAGGATATTTTCAAACATTTTATATATATTAAGAAAAAAGTTTTGTTTTCTTGATATCTTGAAAAAATGAAATATACTTTTATTTTTACCCTTTACTTGAAATAAAGATACAATTACATTAAATATTAAATACTCTCACACTAATCAAGGGAGGGTAAGATTGAAAAAAAATAATTTAAATATTAAAAAGTGTCTTATATTTTAAATCAAAAATAACTTTGAGAAAGTGTGTTGTAAATAGGATTAAAGGGAGTATGTAACAAATTAAAAAAGACAGTTTTTTTTTCCTTTTCATTTTCTTAAATGGTCACTTTAACTATATAAACTCATTAATATTAATTTTGCATTGACTTCATAAAAAGGTGAGGATTGGGGAAATCATATATTCAAGCTCAACTCCAAGGGATGAAAATTTTGTATTAACGTTTGAATCCCAACATTGACCTTGACGTTGGGGCGCAGGGCAAGGAGGACGCATAGACAAGTGGGGGCATAAATTGTATAAAACGTAAAATGTGTAGAAAAAAAATCGAAAATGACTTAAGGGGTTTAAAATTATATAAATAGTGGGGACAAATTAAATATTCAAAACTTATATGTTACTTATTTGTAAATTTTTCCAAAGTCAGTGGAGACATTTGTCTACTCATAGAAGCATGTAGGTCTACTCCTGCAGTAAGAAATCCATGTGTAATTCACTAGTCTATATGACTCAGAAATCTAATATCTGAAGTTAATTAACAATGGGCTACTGCATAATATAATATCCATTGATGTGGTCCATAAGATTATAATTTTGACTATTAGTCAAGTCATAACAAAACCAGAGGTGCTAATGGAAAAGAATATTTTTCATTTTATTGAAGAAAGGAAATATAATAATAAGATGAAGGACAAGAGACGAAATCAAGGTAAAAGAAAGAAACAGAAAAAAAAGGTAATTAAATCATTTGCTATTGGAATCTGATGATTTTTATGCACACTAAATCACATACTATATCAATATACCATCATCAATTATCAGTACATATAACCAAATATATAACAAAATCATATTATTCATACCTTTTTGCTCAGATGGTCGAATACAGTGGCCTTTTTGAAAACTCACACGAAGTTTACCCAACTGATGTAACTGCAATGGAGTTTCGTGCATAAGCCTGGATCCAGAACAGGATCAATCTCGTACATTCAGGGAAAAATTGGTGTGGATTCATCTGTTTGGATTTTGTGATCAAGAGGCACTGCAACTCTTCATCATTTAGTTTGATAAATAGCTGGACAACTTGAAAATCCTCTCTTTTTGAACTTGGTGATATATATTTCCCAATCCAGGGTCGATGTAGCTTGACCCAGTGTCAAGATCCGAATGATACTTATATGACTGCTGATCGATTTAGTTACAAGTGATTTCTGATTGCATCTTATTTGTTTCAGAGTTCCATTCACATGCAGATTCTAGAAAAATAAAATTGACCATGACATGAAATTATCTAATCGCTTGTGTATTGGAGTCTGTCGGAAGCACTATGTAAAGCATGTTACTTTTTAGCCAAATCATATGATGAAGAAAAATACCTTCCCGAACTTGGAGTTATTGGCCTGGGCAAAGTTTATCTGAAGTTTCAAAATCCAATTAACTAGTCCTGAATTGGAAATGTCAGAAGAGTGAATAGATAAGGATAAGACGGATCTGGTAAAAGGGCAATCACAAAAAAATAAGTTAAATCATGCTTGTAGCGGAGCCAATGTTATAATAAATATATACAATATTTTGTTTTACTAATTTATAGTTAAGTATAATATCGAATTTAAGTTACATTATATTCGAAAGCATCTATCATGAGTGGGCCCAAGGGAAAAGATGAGCCCAAGGCCTTATTGAATGGGCCTGAGTCCGTAGTAGAAATCAGGGAATGAGATTGACAAGTTGAAGAAGAGCAATGGAAAGAAGTCAGGAAATTGGTGAACGATCTTCCTTCTCACTTTGCCTCTGCTTCTCTCTAAATCTTTTGCTTTGTTTCTTTCTTCTCTTTATGAACTCTACTGTCAATGCTTTAGTTTGGCTGTAATTGGCTTTTATCGGATATATATGTTGTTTTAAGCTTGTTGCTTAGTGAATGTTTCCGTTTTTTTTTTTTGTTTTGAAAAAACAAGGCCACCTTAAAAAACCATATAAAGAGACTATGATCAGGTTATATCTAAAGTCATAAGGCTTCTACAATCCATGAGTGGATTATGAAATAGCTAACATCAAAATTCTCTCTCAAGGCCTTGTGGGCAAAGAAGATCGATGCATCTTAGCTTCTCAGTAATAAACATAATCAAAAGTATTTTATGCATCTATTAGCTTCTCTATAAACATAATTAAAAGTAATTTTACTCCCTTATGGTGAGATTTTTGATGTTCTTGATAATTGCTGAGAGAGTATGGCTATGAGAGGTGTTGCATTCAATGAAGGATAGAGCTTTCATAAAATCTAAGCAAACATTAATTCTGAAAATCTTAACATTCCAACAACGGCTTTATTGTTTCCAATATCCCTCTAAGTTTAGCTCCTATGTTAGGTTGATAGCCAAAATTTTGAAAAAATCCTTAATCTAGTTATCCTTTTTCATCTTTGATGAGGCCTCCATAAATAGCTGCAGTATTAAGATTGACTGGACTGTCAACATCTAATGTAACCCAATCAATATTTGGGGATTCCATCCAGCTTCATATGTGTTGATTTTTTAAAAGTTTTGTTGAAGTTTAGATTGAAGCTTCAGTCATTTTGAACTCCATCATTCCTTCAGTCTTTTTGTAATTTTTGCCTGTCATGGCCGGTGTGATCGAAAAAAGTGCTTTCATTTAGAGAATCAATTCTGCCTCAATGGCTAATAACATGATGAGATGGAGCTTGAGGAGCTACACCAAGCCATTAAACAAGTGGCTAAAAGAGACCCAAAAGCTTTGTGCTTCTTCACTTGGAAGCAACATGAGCATCGCGACCGAATTGATTGAGGCTATAGTTAATGCGATTAAACATCACTTAGGGCTTGAAGATGAGCTTTCAACGTCAACAAGTCTAGTGATACCATTTTTGTTTAGTGAAGCTCGTGATATAATAGAAACTACCGACAGTAATTATCACCAAGTTGGCCGATAAAGTCTCCAAGAGTTCTACTGCTGACTCGTGAGCCATTTCTACACGTTTATGGAGTTGATTGATCCGCCGACCATTGAAGCTCAAGACAAGAAAAAAACCCAAGTTAAGCACGCCAAACCCTTCAATCACTGCAACCATTTCTTCAATATGAAGGGCATTAGCGGTCGAAGGTGCGAACTGAAGGATGAATAAACGCATAGTGAATAAACTAAAATATTTCCAGTTACGCATCTTGCTTAATGAATGGATCTCTTCGTAAAGCTTCAATATGCGTCACTGTAAACTATTTTTGTTTTAAGCTCTCCCATATGACTGCATTTTTGTTTGATTTTTGCTGTTTGCTTTACCTTCGATTCCATCATACATTTGTCTGATTTATTGTATACCCTTCGATTTTGTCTGATTTTGACGTTGGGGTCCGATATCTCTCTCTGGTGCCTGCCCCCTGCATTGGCGGTTTTCCTGTTTTGTTTGATTTAGAGTTTTGATGTTCAGCTTTCTCCAATTATATGCTTGTAATACTGTTGAGAATAATAAAAACAGGGGGGATGGAGAGAAGGATGAGCAAGAGGTGTTGCTATCTGTAAAGTTATAGTCTTTGTGCTCCTTAACTGGGTAACCTTTAATTATATAATCATTACATTTAAGATTGTTGAAGGGAAGCCACGACACCGATTGCATGGTTCTAGGAAGTGCTGTTGCTGTATATCTATAACTTCTTTTATTTTGGTTGGACTGTAGTTGATTATCTTTACTTTTCTCCATTAAGTTTCATGTGCCCAATGTTCTTCCCTTGTTATTTTCGCTCTGTTCTATTCTCATGTTAAGCGATCCAATAGATCTGATAGTAATGAGATTTATGCAGCTGGAGAATTTGTGTTATTTGGCCTTGTGGGCTTTGTTGAGAAATCAGACATGATGCTGAAGAAAATTGAATATGTTTTCTAATGGAATGTCATGTTCATCCTTCCCTAGCTAGTTCTCTTGATTTCAAAGTCAATTCTTGTGCGTTTTTGTTGTTCATATAAATGGGGCAGAACCATGAGTCTAATACTTAGTTTATTGATAATCTGATTTTTTTTTTTTTAAAGCATGATATGGTTGTTGTTTTGTTCTTCTTCTTTCCTAATTACTTAGTGGTTGCTGGCTATGATATTTCCCATAAGTTTAATAATAATAATTTGATAATAAATCTCAAGAAATTTCTGCTATTTTCCAACTTTACGTCTCTTAGTGATCAATCATAAATTTGAGAATTAGTTAGGCAGTTGGTATTGAATGGTTTTATGATTTAGTTTATTGAAAACAATAGATCAGGTATGATAACATCTCAAAAAACAATTCGGTAAAGAAATTTATTTGTATTTAATTATTTATTTCTCTCTCAAATTGTGATTTTGTAGGAAATTCTTTTCAGAATGGCTGGTCTACCGATGGTGGAGAACTGCCTCTCGGGATATAATAGTTGTATGTTTGCATATGACAGGTATTCTCCTGAATAAACATGCTTTAGGCACTCTTGAGATTAGCTACGCGAAAAGAAAAAAAAAAAAAAAAAAAGCCATGTAAAATAGAGTATTGTACTATTGTTAAGCAGAAAGGACATTGTCTTCGATACAAGATTCCAATATAGGGCTTAGC